ACGCCGCCCCCCGCCGCCACCACCGCCGCCACCACCGCCGCCACCACCGCCGCCACCACACCGCCACCACCGCCACCACCGCTGCCCCTGCTGCCGCTGCTGCCCCCGCTGCGAAAACCGCCACCGCCCCCACCGCCACCACCGCCGACACCGCCACCACTGCCACCACCACCTTAAGCCCGAAATCTAAAAACCCTAAACCTGCAACCTTAAACCCCAACCTCCCGGTTCCGAAAAGGCATGGGCCTGGCTGCTACATCGGCTGAGACCGCAAGACGAGGCCTTTACTGAAACTTGGGGCTTAGGGATTTGGGTGTTTGGGTAATTTGACGGGTTTATAGGGTTCGATGGTTGAGGGGTTTGAGGGGGTTGGGGGTTTAGGATTTTGGGTTTGGGTTGAGGATTTAGGGTCTAGGGAGTCTAGGGTTAGTGTCGCGGTTTAATCTGATTTTGTGCGACGGTAGAGTTGCGTGGTTTAGGGGCATGGGGTTTAATATAGGGCTCAGGCTTGTGGGCATTGGAGTTTAGGGTTCGTGGCTGCAACAGCAAATGTACGTTGTGCAGGCACTCAACACGGCAGAAGACCAGGCACGCTCTCTGGCTGACTGGCTGCAGAGGATGGTTCTGTGTTCGCTGGTGAGTCCCGAGGATTTCCTGAACAGACTAAACACGGGCGGATTCCGGCCAGTTCCCGCATGCGCCTCGAGTGAACTGCACTCGGTGGACGTTGCTCATCGCCTCTCCGACAGGTTGCTGGCACGGGGACAAGTTCCCAGATACCTGCTGCGCAGGGAAGCACTGCAAGCGCTGCAGCGAGCGGTGAGGTCATCAATTCTGTGGGTCTTTTCAAACCTGATCCCCCGTAGTGTGCTGCAGGTCGCAGTAGAGACTCTATCAGCCGAAGAACTGCGAGAACGCAGGCGCGAAAGCTGTTTGAATTTAGTCTTTCATCGACCCCTGGACATGCATCTGTGGGCCCTTCCAGGGTTCAGACTTCAGGCCTTCAGGTTCATGTTACTGCTCCAAGCCAATGTTGCAGGGTGGCGCACTTGGACCGAGCGCCTCAGTAATGGCACGCAAAGTCGTGCTACACTCAGCCGCAGCGCACAGGATTGGAGCCAAGATTGCCGCATGTCGCCAGCATGAGCCATCTGGGCTGAGGTGTTCCATCCAGGTCAAGCTGTGCACCGGGCAGACTGCGCCAACAGCAAGATGGACTGCATTTCTCGCGTGTGTTCTTTCACTGCTGGACTGCTGGAGACTCGCAGAGTGCTTTTTTGAAATCCTTGGCCAGCATGTCAGGAGCAAGTCCGTCGTCCTCTCTCTCGGTAGTGCGATGATCTGTGAGGTAGCACAGGCTGAGAAGATCGTGCTTGCCCGGACTTCGTGAGCAGTTCGAGCGGCAAAGATGCTCATGCTGATTGGCATCATTGGGTTGTATTTGGAGGTTTTTGTGTGATATGAAGGAGCGGACATACAACTTACAACTGGCAGCCGTCTTCTGCTGGCTTTAGCTCTTGAGTAGCTGGAGCATTGGCGAGAGTGAGGTACTTTGATGACAGACCCAACCTCGCAAACCCCAGCCATCATAGCCAAGTGTTCCCAACCTCGTCTCAACCTGGCTTCGGTCATGGCATGCAGCGCTGCGTGCCGATTGAGGCCGTCACTAGCCTGGACAGAGTGCCGCGGTTCTCCGCTTTGCTTGAAACGAGGCGATCGATCCCAGCCTCGACCAGAGCTCTGCAAGGCCGTGGCGGCGGTAGCTTGAGAGTTTTGTCAGAACTGGATTGAAGCCCTAGGACAGATCGAGCATCCTACGACATGGTGGTCGAAAGCTCTTGGCGGCGTTGGCGGCCTCAGAACTGGCCTTCCCTGGTGGTTTGCCTCGAGAACCTTATGCTACTGCACCAGGTCCGCGGCATCATCCGACATCCAGTGAAAGCTACGGGTGCCTCCCGATCCACGGAATCATTCAGGTGTGCATGCAAAACGCTTGCAGGCCACATTCTGGGCCACAAGCTGGAAGTTGTGCAGGGGTCATGTCCTCATTCTCCGACAGAGAGGCTTTGGTACCATAGCAAACCGTATGAATGCCGACGAGGTCAAAGAAGCGCCCGAGGCTGTGCGCCGCCTATCTCAGTGCATTCCTAGCAGTCCTAGCAAGCATAAGGTGACGTGTTGATGTCTCGGCGGTTCTTCGGTGGAGTTTTTCAGGTATATGCCGCCAAAGATTCCCAAGCATCCACTCCAAGATATAGAAGCGAATATGAACGAGCTTCTAACTTACAGTGCGGAGCTCAGTCTGCTTGTGTTGCTTCCATCTATCTGCTTCCAAGTCTGGCCGTCCTTTTGCCATGCCACGGCAAGCCCTCAACCGAGATGACCTGAAGCTGCGCTGGCAGTTCACGACTCGATTTTCAACCAGTCGAATGGGTGTGTGAGACCAAGTTGCATAGCACTGACATGCATGGACCTTGCAGTGATCTGCACCTGATCCCACGAACAAGTGATCCGCTGACGAGGTGGCTCGCCATTGGAAGCCTCAGCGCACGGACTTTCCGCGCAGCTTGTCATGTTTCCCGCTCTAGAAGGCTAAGGTGAGCCTCGCATGATTTGAGGAAGCAAGCCGACATGTTCCTTCATATGGCATGACGATATGCCACACAGGAGAAGCAGCACGATCAAGTTGCTCTTCAGTTTGTATCAGTGCGTGTGTGCTGTTGCTAGGAGCCCGCAACCAGAGCTCCCGAGCCCAAAGCACTTTGACAGGCCTGGCAACTTTCCCCCTCGATACTTTCGACCGATTTCGGTCTGGCTCGATGCAGGATCAAGGAGCAAGAGCTCTTCTGTGTCTTCAAGAGCAGCTTGCAAGCACAGGGCCACCGTTTTGTTTGACCTGGTACAAAACAAGTTACGGTTGAGCCCCCCGGCACCCGCTGCGATGTGTTTTTCTCCTTTGAGGCAGTGTGCTGCATCAGCACAAAGTGACAGCAAGCAGCTCAGTTTGCAACAATGGCTTGCTGCCAGTTCGGTAGGGTGGTGACAAGGTCGGAGACCTCGTGCAAATTGAGAAGCTTCACAGAAGAGAGGCTGGTGAGAAGGCTCCAGCTTTGCTTCCTCGCTGTGGCGTACATATGCCAGCGACGTGCTGGAGTCAGAGCCACAGTGTAGGGTTTAGGGTTTAGAGTCATGAGTCATGAATAGCTGCCCGCAACTCAAGCTTAAGGTGACAGAGGCACACTCCCCCCTGTGTTGTTGTGAGTGTTGGCCAGGTCGTTTTTGGGACTGTCCTTGTCGTTGGCTCGAAGGACACTTACCAGGCTACTCCCTAAACCCATGACCCTAATCCTGAACCCCTAAGTGGTTTGTCCTAAACCTTAAACCCCTAACCCTAATGCCCCAAGCGGTTCGGCCTTTTCGTGGAAGAGATGCTATTCAGCGCAGGACTTCACCATTCTCGGGAAGCCGACCGTGTTCCAGACTTACGCTCGAGATGTATGATACGGTATTATGCTATGTCATGCTAAGCATGATGCCGCAGAGTATTTTAGGGGTTTTATGCAAGATTGCATTATTGGCACCTTTTGAAGGCATTTGAGCTTGACTATCTTCTGAGGCCCTATGCGAAAGTGAAGGCGACCATCGAGCCAGATCCTGAGGAAGAAGTTTAGACGGGACGCACAAGGGCTTGTTTGGTACGGATGCATCACATCTGCCTCTGTGTAATCACAAATATGCTCATGTAAGACTCATACATATATACATATGTATATACATTTATATGTGTCTGTTCATTGTTTGTTCGTTTATACATTCCGTTCCTTTATGTAAAACCTCTTACATGAATGAAGTACGTAGATGCATGATACATGCATACGTAGATCAAAACAACCATTAAAATGCTATGCCAATTCTTCTGATAACCGATACTATGCAACAGTAGCACGAATTATTTGTACCCTAAACCCTAAACCCTATAAACCCTACACCCTAAACTCTTCTGCTTCTTGGCAGTTTTTCGTCTCCCCGCTTCCTGGCAACTTCTTATGCAGGCAGCAGACTCTGACGAGAGAGATGCTCGCCTTCTGGCACCTGGCTTAGGAAAGAGAGGGGGTTTGGGGGATAGGGACCCTTAATGGGGACCCCTACCCTATAAAATGGGTATATAATAGCTATATTAAGGGCTTCAGGGTGCTGAGGTTTTATGAGGTCTGGGGGTTTTGGGGTTTAGGGTTTTTGAGGGGATGCCGGCGCAACACCTCCGAATTGGCACTGAGCAGCTTGTGCCGTGCAAGCTGCTTTGCGGAATGGATGTCATCTGAACGACCAGGTACAAGCCACGGCGAAAGCAGTCCCACTTCTACCGTCGCAGGCATCGATATGCGCACCAATAGTTGCGTCCTTGATGCCGGGGCAGTGCTGTGCCCTGGGCTCCGCAGGCAGTGGGTGACCATGCTCCGCATCGATGAAATTGTGTTGATGCCAGAAGAGGACCCCCAAAGGATGACATGGACGAACGAAGGAGCAGCTGCCTCCTGTTTGCCAGGATCCCACAGACCCCCCGCCGCCCAAACCCGTTCGACTTCTCGACCTTTGGGCCAACAGGCCTTGCTTGGTTTCCTTGTGAGACCTAGTCGCATGCAATCATTGAAGGTGGTTGGATCCTGCCGAAAAGGCAGGAATCGAGATGGTGACAGGCGGCAGTCCCACACTGGCAGATCGGCGTCTGCTCTTATGAGCCCGAAAGCGAGCGGGCGTCTGCCAAGGTGAAGACGGCGCTGTCATTCCAAAGACTGCTTTAATCTATGAGCCTGGGTTGCAAGTAGTAAAGCCGCAGTTGACAGAACCGAGGAGATCAGGAGTGTTTTTTTGAGCCCTGCTCCCTTCTTCTAAGTCCGAGTTGCAACCCCAAGCCTGTGAACCCTAAACCCTGAATCCTAAGCATAATCCGTGGTTCTTAAACCCTAACCACCTCCTCCCAATCACAACCCCGAAACTCTCACTCCGATACACTCGCGCAACATACCCAGACCCTGGGCCCACAGCCGGAAACATCCAACTCCCTTTTGCCCGAACCTGAGCCTGAGGCCCTAAGCCCCAAGACCCCGAAAGCCTGAAGAACTTTTAAAAAACCTGAAGCCTTGAACCCTAAATCCTAAAGCCTGATTTCGATTCGGATCCGGAAGTTTCAGCTATAAGCGAGGATGGCTCTGAGCATCAGCCTGGAAGCTATCACCGGCTGCAGACTCGGAAGCCTTTTGCTACTTCGGATGGGTTTCTTACAGGATCATGGGACTTAGTAAGTAGGGTTATAAGTAAAGTAACTACAATTATAATTACTTATAACCCCACTTAAGGTCTTATAGCCCTACTTACTAAGTCCCATGATCCTCCAAGTTAGGTTTCCCGTCCAGCATTGCAAGCTTATCCAAACCTCATCCTTTTGTCCGCTTTCGTCAAGGCAACATCTCCTTGCTTGCACTCTCTGCGTACCGAATATCCTTTTCCTGGACCCTGAGAGTATGTAGAGCAATAGCCTTTTGTGGGTGTTGGGCCATTGTTTTACGTACTGTTGGGGCTTTAGCTTGACGTTTAGGCTTTAGAGTTTACATTTCGCAGTTCGAAAAGCGAGGCGTGGACTCACTTCCTGTTACCGGTACTGGCCGGATCCCGCGGCCTGGCGTGTTTGTGGGCTCCCCAAGTCGCCAAGACTCGGCGAAAGACTGCACAGTCATCACATCGAATGATAGGCCTGCCAAATCTCAGCTGTGTGGTCAAACGCCTTATGATGTCCCACGCACTGTCTTCGCAGATCTTGATATCGAATCTATCAATCCTGGTCCTACTATGACTTTATCCTACTCACTGACACCCTTTTAATCCCGCTCAACCCGCCTCGACCTACAAAGCCCGGTGCAGCCTGCTGAGGGCCCGGGCTGATTGTGCAAGAAAAACCTCAGCCTTGATCTTTCAGGCTAATTCTAAAGGTATTCCATGAGAGGAAGTTCTATGTTGCCCCATGATCGCCATGTTCGTGCCGTGCATTGTAGATTGCACTCATCAGCTACTGCCATCCCTGTTGCAATGCTGGTGCCAGGCCGCTACGCATTGGATTCACAGGAAGACCTGACCTGCCCTGCGGAGATAACATCGAGAGTGCCGTTTTGCTCTTGCTGGTTGAGGAAGCTCTGCCCACTCGCAATCCATGCGGCTTCGGATTTGTGGATGCTGGCCCAAGCCGGCTCTGCCTGCCTAGCCAATGGCTTTTTATCGCGTTGCAGTCAGATGGTTCTTGCATTCTCTTGTATTGCAGTCAGATGGCCCACCAAGAAGCAGTGCTGACCTAGGAATTTGTAAATCGGTTGTGCGTCTAGTTTCAAAATTTCCGAGCACGAATATGCCCACTCTACTCAACCTACGTCGTCCCTGCACGCCGCAAATCTCGCAGTCCCCTTCCAGATGCCGATGCGGCGACCCGTTCAGTGTCGGCATGATGGAGGAGGAGGTGCTTCTTCTCGAAATTTGAGCTACCATAATAGGGACCTACAGAATAGTATGGTTTCATTATTATGGTAACTTAAATTAAGTTCCGATAGTTTCATTATTATGGCAATTTAAGTTAAACTCCTTAAAAGGAGCCCAGTCTTGGGGCTTTCTCTCCTGCTGTGGGTTTCGCTCGCAGCGAAGCCCCGTAGGCCGCCGAGATCCGCGCCAAAGAGCGGGAGATGGCTTCGATCAAAGCCGGAGCCTTGCAGCGTTGCTCCAAAGTCTTACCTTTGGTAAGTAGGGAATGGAGGAATGGGGTACAACTACAGCTAGTATTACTACCATTCTTCCATTCCCTACTAACCAAAGGTAAGAAGGTAAGAAGTGAAGACCCCGTAAACCCTGAACCCTAAACTCCCGAAGCCCCAATATGAGGTCTTAGAGAGGTGATCAGAATCTTTTGACTTCAAATCTTGACGGTTTAGGGTTTAGGGTCCAATGAGAGTTCTTCGAATGTCTTAATATAGTACCATAAATGGTAGGATCCCTAGTATAAGGACCCCAAAATAAGGTACCCCTAGAGTCTTCGTGAGGTGATCAGAGTCTTTTGACTTCAAATCTTGAATCTTGTCACCTGTTCGAGCGCAGGCAAGGATCTCGTCCCTGAGCGATGCGAAGAGACAGGCCAGCTGTCCACGGTGTCGGCGTTGCATCGTCCCTTCCTATAATGTACGCCAGTCCCCTCTTCTAATCATTACGGCCCCTAAAAGCCCTAAATGGTTATACTTCAACATGCCCCTGAAAGCCTCTCCCAATACACCGCAATACACCACCCATAACCTCTCTTCCCGTTAATTCTAAGGACCCCGAAACTCCGTGTAATTTTGCTATACTACACCACCCAAAGCACTAAACCTCATATTATGGCCACACTGCCTATCATATAAAGACACCCTACCAGTAAACCCTCAACCCTGCTACTGTCAATTTTACTGCTCGCGCGATAGCCGCCTCGGTAGATGGCCCCCGGATTCAGAGTCCCGCCAAGATGGGGGTTTCCGAAAATCGGGGTACCTTAGCCTTAGTTTGGGGTCCTTATAATAAGGATCCTACCCAGACCCTCCATCTACCCTCTATTAGACCCTAAATGCCCCTTATTTGGGACCATATACCCCTATTTGAGGGTACAAGGAGGGTCCTGGACTATTTAGAATACTATATTAGGGTCCCCTATTTTCGGAAACCCCCAGATTGAACCAAGAAGCCGGAGAGTCGCAAAGAAAAGCCCGATCAGATCGAGGGCGATACCATGTTACAGGGTCCCATGGAACCTCACCACCCAGAGACTCCAATATCCACTGATTAAGGAGCAGATGCCGTAAATCATACTAGGGGTCCTACTATATTTTTAAGGTAGATTCCTTAAATTCATGGATGTTGGAGTCTCTGGGCAAGACGCGTCCCAACCTCCGGCCCAAACCGGCCTACTTGGTCTTTCCCTTGCGGAGGCGAGCTCGGCGGAGGAGCAGCTTGGAGAGGTCGTGCAGGAGGCCCGGGGACCCGGAGAGGGCGACTGCGGAAGGTGTAGAGAACGGAGGCTTACGGAGGAAGGTTTTGGGGTTTAGGGTCTTTTTTGGGGGGGTTCAGGACTGTGGTTTTTAGGGTTTAGGGTCAAAGGCCAGGTTCAGGGTTTTTCAGGCTTTAGGGTAGGTTTAACGTTTAGGGTTTGGGTTCCAGGGCTCAGGGCTTGGGATTCTTGAGATTCTTGGGGTTGGGGGTTCGGTCGGGTTTAGTGTTGTAGGCTGAAGTTTCGGTTTAGGATGATCTCTGCAGAGCTTCCACTTGAAGGTTCATGGGACTTAGTAACCATGGTTATAAATCAGGTAACTATACTTATAATTGGATATATCCCCAGTTAGGCTACTCATAACTGTAGTTACTAAGTCCCATGATCCCCATTTTAGAACCCTTATAGATCCCTTTAAGGAGCCCTACTATAGAGCCCTATAGTACCTTTTAAGGAACCCTAGACTGTACTTACTAAGTCCCATGAACCCCCAAGTAGACCCTAAACCCTCTAGATCCCTTTATGGAACCCTATGAATCCGTTTTAAAGAGCGCTTTAAGGACCCTTATACTAACTCCCATGAACAGGTCGCTCGACTTCGTGAGCGTCTCGCCCACGTTGAGCTCGAGCTCAAAGGCGCCTCATCCCGCAAGCGGGGGCTCCCAGAGGTCTTCGCCAAGCCAAGCCCCTGAATCCTAGAGACCCTAAACCCTAGACCCAAAACCGACCCTGAACCCTAAACCCTATAGACCCTAAGAGCTAAACCTTGAAACTTAAACCCTTACCTCAAACCCTCTAGACCCTAGACCTTAGACCAGAAACCCTTAACCCTATACCCTAAATCCTACCAGCCGGGCCTCCGCCGAGGAAGGATGCCGAGAAAGATATCGCCGACCTGGAGCGGGGGATGGCAGCCTTCAAGGATCGAGGGACAAGGGATATATTCTGTGGGTACACTCTCTCTCTCTCTCTCTCTCTCTCTGTCTCTCCCTCTCTGTATATATATATATATATATACACACATAAGTACATACATGTGTACAAAGGCATTTTACTTTTTCCAGATGCATGTACATATTATGTACACATGCAAATAAATACATGTGTATATATATATATATATGTGCGGTAAGGATAGAGTATTTGTTCTACTGTACTCGTATATGATGCATTGTATCATATATGCATCTGCATTATGTATGTATGTATGTATGCATGTATGTATGTACGTGTGCTCGTAGATTTCTTTCAGATTTCCTGGATGATCTCAGCAAAGTGCACACCACAGCTGGAAGGAAACGCTGCATTTGCGACAGCTCTCCGTCGCCGAGTTGCGCAGCAACAGAGACGAGGCCTGCTGTGAACATGAGGGAGCAAGCCGACAGGTGTAATTGCATTTAGACATGGCTCCCGGCCTCAGACGGAGCGACAGCTGGCGCAAACCCTGCGGGAACGAGAGCTATTTCGAGAGAGCGAGGACCTCGGGTTGGCGCTGACTGCATGTACAGAGTGCTCTCCTCGCAACATCGACGAAGCCAAGCACTTCCACCAGCCATAAACCCGAAACTCCTTCAGCCTTTCCTTTACAATTGACATCAATGCACCCTCAGATGAAGGGAGGGACAGGGCCTCCGACGGCCCATTGGAGCCTTCACAACTGGATGCCGGTGCTGATTCCTTTACGGGGCTTCAAAGTCGATGCCCTCATTTAATGATGCCTTCCCAAGCACAGGACTATTTAAGAACGCTCCGAATATAATCCCCTCGGCGCCTCAAACTGTATAAACTGTTGTAGAAGCTACTTAAACGGTCGTGGGACT